TACTTCTTTCAAACAATTAAAATATCAATATCATATAATATTTCCTACAAAAATAATATTAAAACGTTTCTAAATGGTTAAAAAATTAATATCGTACACAGAAACTATCAACGACATGTGTCTCGATATAACGACAACGAAGTGTCAAAACGTTCTGTTTATTGCGTTTAAACGTTTTTAAACGTTTTTTGGATAAGCTTTCCTTGAAGAATAAACGGGATCTGAAATTTTCAGCTTTTCAAAAATTTTAACACAGAAAAAAGTCGCATGTTGCTAAATGCCGCGACATAAAAAAAATTAGCATCGAAAAATTTGATGAACACTTCTGAGATTCCCCTTGTCGGTAACGAAAAATTTAGCAACATTTTAAAAAGCAATTGTGTAAGGAAAACTTTAAGCTTTCACGTTAGATTTTTTTGTATATGTGACAGGCCCATAAAGTGAGAAGACAATTTCCCATTTTATCCAGCTTATTATCTTCTATATGTAAAAATAACTAAACTCACAGAAACTTAAAAGGCAAAGTAATCTTTCGGAAGTAGAGATTTTAAGCTTTAAAATTTTTTTTAATTTAAATTTCGTTCATTTTTATCGTAATTAGAATTTTTAATGTAAATACTTGAATTTTTAAGCTCATAGCGCTACGAATTTTTATTCTTATAATTATTTGCATTACTTGCACAGTAGTATTATGTGCGTAATGGTATAAAGAAAATGAACATTATTATGTGCTATTAAATTTTATCAGAAAAGAAGTCCATTGTTTGTGACGTTTCAGCACTACTATTTTATATGGTATATACATATGTACAAAAAATATAACACCTTAAATATAATATATATATTTTTTGCATTCTTACACTTTTTGAATTTGAATAGAATATATTTATTGCATTCTTACACTTTTTAAGCATTAATGGACATTATTTTAAAAAATAAATATTAATCATCGATTTTTTTATCTTAATTTAAATGCTGACATATACTGTCAATAAAGATATAATAAAGACATGCATATCATTAAGTATTCACATCATTTTTTAGACTGTTAAATTTATGATGTCAAATTATATCCAATTTGAGCTATTTTTAGTCATTTCTATAGGTCGCCATTTCTATAGGTCGTTAAGTCTATAGTCGCATTAAAACAAGTGAAATTAAACAATTTAATTCAAGAATATGTATTAAATTTGACCGAAGTTTGACTTGACTTAGTTTATTATTTACTAATTGAGTACGTTAATGTAGACGTTAATATATTTACTTTGAAATTAATTACAGAAATAAATTCACTTATATTTTGACATACTCTTAGAAGTTAAAAATAACAAAGTGTTATTTAATTCAGGGGATTAAATTGTTATTGCTCCTTTGATATCTCTAACAGTGTATGATTATTTTTGATGATTATATTTGTACAATTATTTTTATAATAATAAACAGAAAATGGATCGATAAGTGAATAACAATTAAGAGAAAGAATCCTATATTTAAAGGAGGCCTCTTGCTGTTTAATAATATTTATATGCAAATTTTAAAAATATATTTTTTAGTTTTATAAACTACGCCAATTCGGTTTGTTGGAAACAAAATTATAAACCGAAGTTGTAAATAAAATATCACAAATTGATCATTAATTAAATAATGCTAATAAGCATCTTAACTCATTGCAAAGAATTTATTGCGAAAAATATTACCCCACAGTGAGGATATTTTTACAATTTTATTTTCCTATCGGAATCATATTGCGCAGCTAATTATATGTCAGAAATAATTAATTAATTGCAGAAACAATGAGAAAGAAATATAAAAATCTCTGTATTATTTCATATCACTAATCTAAACGCGTTTATTGTTTTCTTTGATTGTTCTCCGTAAAATCGTTTGATTACGCTCGAAAGCTTTATACGGTTAAATAAACTTTGATCAGTGAGTAAATTGTACGCGAGTTTTTATTGTGGGAAAATTGTCATACAACGGATTGCCTTTTTTTATACATAACACAATGTGTTTTGTTATTCATTCACGTTGGACATTGCTAGACGGAAGAAAATACTTTAACGGAGGATATCACCGTGCACGAATTCTGTATTCTTCAAAAATTTTATTGACCAGCTTAACCGATTCGGTTATTCATGGCTTTGTTAAAGCTTAAAGCGACGCGACGATACGGTATAATATTCATGGCCAGGACGAGAGATGCGATCTAACCAAGTCGAACATTGGTATACATTTCGAAGCCTTGACTTGACACCGAGAGACCGGCGACGTTTCGAATCTCGTATTCCTGACCTGCATCATTGGTTAACAATGACTTCTGGAATAATTATTTTCAATTACTTCCAAAATTTCTAAACCTAATGACGATTTCTAGTCCAAATCTTTTCGGGATTTAAAATTTACAATACGCAAATAAAACGTATTAATCATAAAAGAAGATTCTACACTCTAAAAAATATCGAATTTAATCATAAGGTGTTTTATATACTCGTAATTCTCATTGTATCGCACAGTAAAAAACATTTTACATTTTTGTTAGAAACGATCTATTTATACCTTTGTTGAATCTTTAACATATATTCGAGTGTTAATTTAAAATACTATTTTATGTTATTTAAAGATTTTATTATATGTTAAATTGATATTCAACATTTCTTAAAATTAAAATGACACAATTTATGAATATAAGTGAATAAGTAATATAAAAACAATGTATTTTAAAACGTAAATTCTAAGATGAATGAGTGAAGTAGGTATGTGTTAATTTAATATACTATAATTATATTGAAAAAAAATATACTTCCATAGTTTGCTTATAAATTGTGTGTCAATATTACCTTTTTTGTGGTAATCTTTTCATATAATATCTATGTTACTTTCTCTAACATATTCATTTTGTGTTAAATTAACACAAAAATTTGAGTGAGCCATTTGGGATACGTGAAATATGTTCAATTTAACACAAATTTTTCAGCAGTGTGATGTTAATATTAACACCAACATAATGAATTTAGCATCATGGATTTTAAATCATCATAATGATGTTGATACAAACACCTGGGATTATAAATTCAAATCATGTGTTAATATTAACACTAACTCGATGAGAATTATATCAAAATCGCACGGTTAAACCCACACCGTTTTTTGTAGAGTGTATTGATGATTAGAAGGATCTGGAGACTAACTAATGTCGGAGTTACTAGAGACATCGTAGCTGACTATACACCCAAAGAAAAGTTTCTTCGATTCAAAGAAATGTTTTCTTTGAAATAAAAAAAAATTTCTTTGATTTGAACGTCATTTCTCTTTGATTTGAAAATAATTTTTTTAAATCAAATAAACTTTTTTATTTGATTTAAAAAAATTATTTTCAAATCAAAGAGACAGAAATGACGTTCAAATCAAAGAAATTTTTTCTTTAATAGCAAAGTATAGCAAAGAAACATTTCTTTGAATAAAAGAAACCTTTCTGTGGGGTTAAAAATCGAACAAGAGACAGGAGAAAATGAAGAAATAGAAGGAGACGCGGAATAATTACCCATCAATGATATATGCAGTTTTAAATATATCCCGTCTGGAAGCAGTTACAAGATTGTAGTCTTATAAGTCACGTTTCACGGAAAACGAATAGAAAATTTCCCAGTGACCAGGATGTTGCAGACGCGGATCTTCCTACGATCTTCCTGCTGCAATGATTTTTTTATTAGTCCGTAGATTTATAAAAAGCTTCTCCGTCCGTATTTTTCTCCTCCGTTTGCTTGCCAAATCACGAATTCGTCAAAAACGGATAGTAACTTTCTAGGATCTGGAAATATAGTTTGTGTGTGCAGCTTTCAGCAAAGAACGAAGTCGTGTTCTTTCTCCTTTGTTTCTCATGTAATATGTATAACTTTATACGAAACTCAATTATTTCAACTACAAATATTTCTGAATGAAGTTATTATATCAAGACAGTGCTGCGAGCCGGAAGCTGTTATTTTCATAAATGTTATTTACTCGAATTTAACCGATTCAATTGATTTTATGTCATTTCTAAAGTTTACTTTTAGAATGAGCTATAGAATGTGTTAAGCCGCAGTTAAGCGCAGTTTCAGCTAACGTTTCAACTGGAAATTCTCCATATCTTTAGATAATGATTTCTATCTCATTCCGAAGTCTTGTAATACCATTGAAGTGGCGCTATCGTTTTTCATTATCGCGTTACTAAAAATAGACACATCGGTTTTCTCTTTCCCGTTTTGTATAACCTATAGTTAATTAAATTGAACTCTGCTATTTTTAAATGTCGCTTTCTCGCGTATAAATAATTATCGCATATAACATAATACATCTGTATCATGTAATGTTCGACTTATATATAAATTTTCGTTCCTTGCATATTCTTCGTATGTGGATTTATTACATTATTATCATTAATGACTTATACACATTGGTTTTTTTTTTTGTGAAAAAGATATTTCAATTCATTTACTAAACTTTTGACGGGATTCCTACTTTTGATATTATGAAGAATTTTGTTAATAATGTCGAGGCTACTCTATTTCTGTGAGGATATATAGTAACTTGCGATAAATTAAATAAACGAGCTTTATGTATACTGAAGATGACTCAGAACTGTGGGTTGAAATGTTTATAGAAATTATAATTTATGCATAATAAAAGTAAAAATTATTTAGCTAGCACTAAGAAATGTTAAACATTAATTTAACACAAAATATTCAAATAACACGATCATATTATGTTAAATTAGCATTCGAATACATTGCAAATTCAAAATAAACATTTTGACAAAAACCAGTTTTAACAAATACAAAATATTCTGTACTGATAATTGTATTCTACACTGATAATCCATACCGATAATTGTGTTACAGTCCGATGAGCTAATAATATATTGGATTTCGTTATCGCGTTTTAATTGACGATATATAATCGATGAGATACTCTAGGGAACGATCTTTGCACGGCGAGGCTAACAATTTGCTCGTTTGTTGCAGGTTCCTAGCACTCGCCGCCTTGTACTGAACCCGATACCAGTCCGATCGATCGGAGGAAAGGGAGGGTTCCTCTGAAGACGTGATACGTTGGTGCTCCGTACGGTGGAAATAGGGATTTCCACCGTAACTTGCCGTTTCACATTCGCGCTCGCGTGTCTACATCCCCCCTTTTCCTCACCCTTATTTCGCTGTTCCCTTCCGCCATCGCGAAGCGATCTCTCGATAGCTGATAGATCGAATCCACGAGTTCTTTCTTCGTCGAGAGCGAGACGAGGAGCAGGTGCGAGACGAAACGAGTCGTGTCGTGATATATCATCGCCAGGCACAATGGCTTGCGAATTCTTTAAGGTGAGTCTGTATTTCTTCATTTATGATAGATGGCCTGTTTCGAAGAGAGAGAAACCTCCGTGTTGCGAATACAATACATCGGTCATTACAAGTAAAACGGTTCTACACGAGGAAATCTACGAGATCTTACGTATATTTCGTATGTAACGTGCTATGTGTTTGTACATAGCACATTTTTGTAATGTCATGAAAAAGATTGACGGTTGAATCATTATGTGAAAGTTTTAGAATGCGAGTTGGAGGCACTAAGTTCGTAATTTGTCCTCTTTAAATATGAAGCTCTGTCTAAGAGTCTCTGTAAAGTGGACCTCATAATATATGGACTTCAATCTCCGCGGCGATCCTTGCACCGAAAGAATGATTTTGCTAAAGTATTATGTCTGAAAGTTTAGTTAGATGGAGATTTGAAAATATAATTATGTTGAACCATTGCCTCGAAATAATTATATTAGACACTCAAACTTTACTAGAAATGTAATTAGGACGTCAAAATTTAACTAGAATGTCAAAATTTTTTGCAGAATTAGGAAGGGAGAGAATTATGGAACACCATGTTGTTTTATTGAAATAACTTAATAGATACTCATGACATAACTACTTTTGATACAAGTTTGTTAACCATAGAATTATATACTGCAGATGGAAGTTCTTGGAATATACAGAACGAACATAATTTACAAAAAAAGAAGAGGGAAAAAAGGTTGTGGGGAAGAGACATGATAGAATCCTACTAACTAATATATAGTATAACTTTACACGTCGGATACATTAACACATTTTGTTACCAAGATAAGTTGAATTATTATATATAAATGGATAATAGAACTACGAGCCAAGATTAATAAACATGGTCAAAATTAAAAAATAAAAATAAAATAAACATACAATAACTTTAATCTAAATGCCGGCAATAACATAACAAACGTTTCGATCCGCATCGGATCATTCTCAATGTTAGAATTGAATACAAAAAGAATATATAAAATTAAAAATTATAATTCAGAAACTTCCCTCTCATCTCGCAGTATCTCCGCCAACATATTGGTACGATGTGAAATCGGCATTGTGTTTATCCGCTTATGTGTAATGTATGATTTCTTCATGTGGATCATAATCAGACTAATGCGAGGAGAGTTAAAAATCTTGTCTTTATTCGTTCGTGTACTTAGACATTATTAAGACATTATTAAGTTGAATTATATTTGAAAGCTACATTCAAAGAGCTCCTAGCTAATTTGAAATTACAAAATTAATAACATACTTCTCAAAATTATATAAAAAGTGTACACTATGCTTATAAAACTGTTTACTATACGGAAAGAACGGTTTTACTGAAGTATCTAAAAATTTAGCTAGGCTCAGATCTGAAAATAATTTTGTTGGTCTATCAAAATATTTATGTAAGATATTTAAACTAATTGTTAGAATATGAAACTTTTTACTGAATTTGCTTATCATACTTGACTTTTCTACATAATTATTTTGATATGGTTTAACAAAATTGTTTTCAGATCTGTATCTAGCTAAATTTTTAGATACTTCACGAAAACCTTTCTTGCAATATTGAAATGCAGCTTTTATGGTAACGCAATAAGTATTTACGACCAGTGGCCATGTTATAACGTCTAAGCAGATTGTGAAGAAGTAATTTTGATGGTCGTTCCAAGAATGCACCACAAACTATACAAAATATCGTGGTATTTCATAGTTCCCCTATTCCATAATCTTCTTTTTCATTATCATGCTTCAGCGTCCCACAAATTATTTTGATGGTTCAACATAATTATTTTCAAACTAGTATCTGATCCAACTTTTATATATTTCAATAAAACTGTTCCTTCATCTTTCGTAAATGTTTCCGTATATCTTTGAATCCAAATCACTACGAAGTATATTGTGAAATCAAGAATCTTTATTTATTCGCAATGCCTGCTCATATTGTTATTTTTACACGAAAAAAAGGTTTTGCTTTAAAGTCTCTAAAAATTTAGCTAAATATGGATTTGAAAATAATTATGTTAAATTATGAAAATAATTATTTTATTTGGATCATCAAAATAATATGTTCAAATTAGTTGCTAGAATGTTAAAACTTTTTGCAACATTGTCATTGAGCGTTTAAGCTCTTCTTTATAATACATTTTGATGGTCCAACAAAATTATTTTTAGATCTGTATTTAATTAAATTTTCAGATTCTTCAGCAAAACCATTCTTTCCGAGTAAAAATATCGCTTTTCTCCTCTCGAAACACTCAACGATTCAAGGACTATTCGATATTGCGCGGCGTGCAATCGGACGCGTCTAGAAAAGTCTAGAAAATCGAAGCGTTTATATACATTGAAGTTAATTGCCGAGGTGCATTCTTAGGATAGTGGTTCGTCCCGTTTGTAATTCTCCTATAGGCGACAGCCATTCGCCGCTCCCGTTTTCCTCATCACTGCAAGTCACTTAGCGGCCGTCCGAATGTGATGAGTTTAGTTTTGTTTGCGTCTACATCCCTACGGAACGGGGGACAACTTCCGTTCCGTCGGGATCGTACTTTGGAAGGCAAACGGTATCATTTCAGTTATCCTTTACTTCGCTCGACGCGACGTCTCATATTATTAGTAACGCGAGCGAAAGTTGCTTCGCAGGCAACAAACAGCAGCAATAGCAGCACGTGCTGCTGCATATTTTGTATGCGCATTGCCGCGCGTAAATTCTCGATGAATTATTTCTTGGCGTCGTCTGGTGTCGCAGACGACCGTTGCCGGGTGCACATATCTCCTGAAATATCTTTTATTAATTAATACGCGCGTGCCCACCGGATGCGTTACAGATGTGCTCTGCGAGATTTAATTTTGAGGAGAGCAGCAACGCCGACTGGACTCGACATTTTGCCAATTAGCGAGGTATCGCTATATCATCGAGATATTCCGTATCACATTGCTCTTTACAGCGCGCTACAAATACGTGCAGATCAATGCTGCCGCGGATACACGATACTGTTTTTTCGCTGTATCGCGCGTTTTGTTGGCTCCGTAAAAGTCTGTATTATAATTTTGAATAATCGCAGACAAGCGACCGCTGCGAGTCACAAAAGAGTCGCCACCGGCACTGTATAAAGTCG